ACAATGAGAAACAACATTTCAAATTGACAAGATTGATTGTTCAAGTTTAAGTGCATAGTACATCTCTGTACATTTTAATATATAGGAAAATGTTGTTGACTAGCGCGAGCCAATTACTGCTCTGTCGTGCCTTCAGGTCATTCAAATTGTTCACAACAAATTTGCTTTTAATAAATCAAACAGCAAATATGTATTGTAGCTTACATACATACATAGGCTTTGAATTAATCTTCTATATATAAAAAAGAAAGGAATGCTAAAGTCGAGCAGGCTCAACTCTTAAATACCCTGTATACCCTACAAAAAAAAAGTAATAATAATTAATATAAATAAATTTAAATAATTAATTTGTGTACTTGTACATATGTAAGTGTGCATTACATACATAATTATGTCAAAGCAGCAACAACAACAGGTGCGGGCAGAGTTTTCTTCATAATTAACCTTTCTTCATAATTAACCTATCGTAATGAAACTTGGCATACGGACAATCACAAAAGGGATGTAGGTAATTCGATTTCGAAATTCTTGCTTTTGTACTTCCTGAGATCCTTGCGTTAATACAAACGGACAGACGGACATGGCTATATCGACTCGGCTTGTCACCCTGATCAAGAATATATATACTTTGCCACGCCTCCTTCTGTGTGTTACATACAAAACTAGTATAGCATTTTACCCTTTGGTAAAAAAAAAACCGCAAAATCAAAAACGATGAGCGAAAAAAGATCAACTGAAAATGCCAATAAATGCGAATCACGTTTGCAAGATTTTTGCGCAAGGGCATCTACTTCCAGAGCCATAGAAACCGAACAAGAACGGGACCATATCTGACCCAAGAAACACAAGCAGGAGGCGATTGGGTATCTTTTGTACAGACGAAGTAAGGTGAACGGCACAATAATAATAATAATAATAATAATAATACAATAATAAAGGATCTAATAGAAGCCCTAAAAAGTGAAGGAGGTATTGGGAAAGATGTGTCGGAAAGCTTAAAAACCACTACAATTCAGTGGCGCAGCAACGCAAACCGGATACGCTAGTGAAAATATAAACAAGTAAAAAAGCTAAAGTCGGGTGTCCCGACTTTGAAATACTCTGTACACATGTTTACAATAATTATAGAAAATAAAAAAAAATAAGAAAATAAAAAAAAAAATTTTGATCGATTTTACCTATCTCGGTATTCGAACTCACGTAAATGGTGCATAATTGCACATTTACATAGCAATTGCGTCTGTGTGAGTGTATTTTTGCCTATGCGCATCTATTCGTGTCTGTGTAAACATATGTGCAGTTAACCAAAGCACCAGCATCAACAAGAGCCACGGGCAGCAGCAAATATATTTATGGCTATAACTTCTTGTTAAATCGGTCTATCATAGTGAAACTTGGCATACTGACACATAATAACCAACTGGGGGTATTTGAAAAATTTGAGTTCGAAGTTCCAAGAATTACGGGAGTTGGAAAAAATCGCGGGGGGGAAAATCAAAAAAAATTAAACAAACTCGTATAGCGTACACACATAAGACATCTTTGTGCAAAATTTGGGTTCTCTATCTCTTATAGTCTCTGAGATCTAGGTGATCATACGGACAGACGGTCAGACAGACAGGGCTAAATCGACTCGTTTTGTCATGCTGATCAAGAATATATATACTTTGTGGGGTCTGCCACGCCTCCTTCTGCCTGTTACATTTTCAGCTCCCGCAAACCTAATATACTCTTGTACATTTCATGTATAAAAAGTATAAAAAGTTACTTATCTCATCAGCATTTTGCCATTTCTGAGGTTCATGAACACGTACATGTGACGCACAATTGCAAGATATTCGCAATTTCGTTAATCGAAAATACAACGAGATTTGTATCGAATGACTTTTACATCTAACGTTTTCATTTGCGATAAGCCCATAACATCAAAAACGTTAAAATCTCACTCACACACACACACAGTCCCATACAAGCGCCAACAGGTAACAAAGCCTGGGAATGCAATGCGCATGCAAGATAGCGATAAGAGACAACGTGTATTTGCTTTTATAGAAAATGTTTTCCACATTGACCCTATTTTTTTCGCCTGATGATTTGATAGCGCTTCATGTGCCTGGCGTAGGCGCAACAGATTCCATGATTCCATGTTTCTTTTTTATGGTACTCCATTGAACATGGTACGCGATAGATTTAGCTGCGCTATTGTTGTTAAGCGAGATCTGGCCTTATCAAGCCTCATCCTGGTCAAGTCAAAGTACAGCGGGGGCTAACGCATGGGCAAAGCAGCAAAAGCCTTTTAATTAACTTTTGGCGCTGCCATCTATTTTTAAAATCCCATTCTCATTAAGCCCAAGTTGAGCTAGATTTGGCCTAAACAAGTGCTGATAAGGCTTAATACTGGACAACCTTTGACATTTACGAAAATCTGTTAATGCTAGCGGCAAGGCAATTGCGAACAAATGATTAAGTCAAGGCTAAGCACGGAATCTTGTTGTTGCCATAGCTGTCCCCGAACGCACACTTGCCTAAGACCTGTGCGCCTAAGGATGCTGCTTTCGAAAATGGAAAAACTGTAGTACAACATGCAGGTGCAATTAGTCGCGGGTCGTCAGCAAAACTTGTGCAATCTGCTTGTCATGACAATGTGTAAAAGGAGTGTGCAGCAGCATCAGCTACTGCCGTGCAATTGAGCGTAAGCCAGACGACGATGTCGACGACAACATTACGTTATTGTGATGTCGCAATAAAGTCAATGTACACATTACGGCAACAACGAAACCTTTCAGATAACAACTAGCAACAGTGGCAGAAACAGTAAGAGCTAGGTACCTGTATGCGTGTACATGTTTGTTTGATCGTGAAAAGGCAAGTAAAGCTGTGCAATTACGGATGTACATTTGTGCACAAACAACCATATATATACATAAGTTGTGAGCTACTACCAAACCAGATATCACAGGAATTTCCAATTACGAGGAAGCTGTTATGGAAGTTCTGCCATCACAAGAAGCCTTTCTTTTGCGTAACTATAATACTTATACATAATATAGCCAGCGTATTGATTGTGTTGAAATGAGAAAAAAAAAATGTCCAACAAGCTTTGGCCGCGATATTGGTAGCAAAATACTGGATTAATAAATTGTATACAAATTTTTTAGAAAAAAATGAAAAGAAATTTAAAAAAATAAATATTAATATGTTGAACGTAGATACTAAGATAGAAAAAAGACCACAATTTCAAAAAACCATAACAACTATATTAGTAACTGTGCTGTGGCATAAATATTATTTTTATTAGCGATGAATAATTATTGAGATACCAATTTAAATATATACACAATTTGTGTATTCAATGTAAGCATAAACAATGCCACAATTGAACATCAATTTAGTGTTGCCTTATACTATATTCTGATTAAATGCAATTGTGTGCATTTATTTTATTTAAATTAATAAAATCTATGAAGAAAAGATAGTCACTCAGTTCAAATAAAATTTTTCATTCACGAACACTTTTTATTGTCGTTCCTAAATGGATTAAACACCTATGGATATATATACCGAAATTTAAAGGAAACAGAGTGCTTAAACAAAATGGATTTTACAAATAAAACATATATATATAAAACATAATTAAAGCGAATAATTTATTTATTTCTGTACATATACTATACATACTCATATAAGTATACTACTAGTTAATTGCTTTTTGCGCCTGCTTCATATTTCTTTATTGACGCAATTGTTGGCCGTGATGGATTGGATTGTCTGCGTTTGATTTTCTGCTACCCAATTAACGCAAACATTCAGACAGGCGTAATTAATTGGCCATCAGTGCTGCGAGATACTAAGCTACAGTTCAGTTACACCTTAAGTACTCGGCTTACCAAAGCATGTTAAATTAGAATTAGACTCAGACCCGACGGAAAATAATATTATAGTATAAGAATAGAATAGAATATTGAATAGAAAATTTGCAATAATATCTAATACCGGATTCCACGCATTGAGGGTAATTTATTTTTATTTCCTCGGCAGATCGACCCGCAGCTCACAGCCAAACGGTCAGAGATGTTTTTTTTCAAAACTCTCTTTAAATTATCTTTGTACTCTCAAAACAAATTAAAAAAAATTAAAACAATAGAAAAGTATTAACGGCAGAGAACCAACCCAATTCTACGAACATAACATTTTGATTCAATACGGACAATGTGGCTTTTGAAATTACTAAGCTGAGGAAACCGCAAGACATAAGCCAATACGCAACAAGTGTGTGAAGTCTACACACGCGTCATAAATCTGTCAAAAGCAGGAAATTACTGAGACATCTTAGAGGTATTTATTATGTCAGCGAGAGCTGACAACGCTTGATACTCGTACAACAGTCAAACACCGTCAAAGACATATTTAGGAAATAGGAAAGCCTAGAAACATAAGTATATCCAACACATAAATGGCGAATGGTAAACGGAAAATGGTAAATACATGTAACTTTTTAGCAAATGACCTTGTACCGCATGCCATTATATAGCGCGCAAACATGCAAAATACATTTTTGGTCAAAAACAAAAAAAAAAAATGCCTGCTCCTAAGAACATGCAATAAATGTTGCGCAGCGCCGCCGGAAGTCTGTCATTCTGTCAGAAACCAGCCGATGGAGGGTGGTTTGCTTTCTACATGCTTAACACGCTCTCGGCGTTGGCTGTTTGACACCACGCGCATTTACAAGGCACGTTCTTGCGACAGTCGACGATGAGAAAAACAGACACTTAAGCAGGCGCAATTAGCGATTGCCTGCCAGCCCTTTAACTCAACTGCAGTTTGTTGTAGATGTTGCTGATGTTGGTTCTGCTTTAGTTGCTATTGTTATAGTTTCAGTCCCCCAGCCAACGGCCACTGAATAATTGATTTTTCGCACTGTTGTAGCAACCATATATTTTTCTATCCTTAGCTACAAGTTAGCAAAACTAATTTTGTTTTAATATGCGACAAGTACTCACCGGTCCCAAATTGTCGAAGCCATATTTATCGGCCACCTTGTGCGCAAAGTCATTGTCGACACCACGGCGAAATCGCACCAGGAACGAGCTGGTGAACACCGCCTGATTGCCCAGGCCGCCAGATCGACTGGCATGGCTGGAGCCTGCCTCAATGGTCAGCAGACCCATAGAAAGCCCCAAAAGGCCGATGCACAGCAGTCGCCACGAAGCAGCTGAGCTCCATGCTGCTGATGCAATGAACATTGCACGCCTTTTACTCGCAATTACAATTACCAATCGTCCTCCTCTTTCTCGTCTTTGTCTTTGGTCCTCGTCGTCAGCTTTAATTAAGACTGGTTTGACTTGATTTGTTGATTTTTAAAATGTTTCGGATTTCTGCAACAACGATGGGGCAACGCTGGCATACAACTTGTACACACACATATATATAAGAGGGGGGGTTGCCAAAAATAAAGGCCGCGCTTCACTGCACGCACGCACACACACGCTCACGTAAAATAGCTGCGCTCGTAATTGTTTGTTTGTCAATGTGACGCCTAAAAGCAGGCAATACTCTTTATTTTCCTTCCTTGAATGAAACTTGTTCCAATTTATTTGTCTGGTTTGCTGCTATTTGACCAATGTTTTTGTCTCTTGTACCTCTAGTTTGTGTTTGCTTTGCTCAACTGTGCGTAGCTTCGTCCGTTGCCACTAACTTCACGTTGGCGCTGAGCGCAGAAAACTGTTTGCCAACGTCGCCAATGGACGCCATTATGAATATCCAAATGGACATAGACAGCAGTGCGAGCAACGCAAAGCACAGCCAAAGCTCTCAAAAGCTCCGCACACTCCGCACACACACTTAATCGTTACGCTACGGGCGGCATTTCATTCGCGCGCATGTCTCGCTTCCTCTCGCTCACACATACGAGTAAATGAGCACCTAGCATGCGTGTTTGTCTATATGTGTGTGTGTGTATGGCTTAAGCTCTCGTTGCCTTTGCAGCCAACGCGTCGCTTCATAAAAGTTAAAACGTCTTTGTGGTTTCGCCTGTGCTTTGTAGACGTCACCACTTGGGCCTCTATCGTTCCCTCTTCGTTTCACGCCCCTCTACATCGTGTTTTTTTTTTATTCTTCTCCATTTCCGCTGTGTTTTTCTTGTTTCCATATTCGCACTGGCACTGCTCCCGCTGCTACTGCCACTACGTCTGCAGCCACAATTCTGTTTTGTTTTCGTTTAATTGCTACGCCGCTGCTCGGCTTGTTGCTCCGAGCCTGAAACCTCTCTGTCCTGCTATTGGCTTATATAGCGCCTCATCAACATATGGCAACATACTTTTCATTTTATCTTCATTGTTTCTTAAAAAAAAAACCAAGAAAGGAAAAAGGTTTAACAAAAAATTGTAAAATTGTCTTTTATGTGCACCAAAGTGGTTTAACCTTTGACCTTCAGTATTGTGGCGCAGCATGCGCTTTAAGACCTCCGTAAATTATAAAAATAGTAATTCACAACACAACAGAACTGTAATAAAAATTGATTATGCATTTAAAGTAAAGCGCACATAAAACTGCAAGTTTTGCCGTCTTAAAAAAACTCATATGTTTCCAATTGACCAAGCATTCATTCAATAACTTTCAGCCCCACCTCCACCAACCGAACAGCTCCTGCTGTGGGCCATATGACGTCAAAAGGCTGCTCGACAAGTCGGTACGAAGGGCCTCACGCTACAGTAAACAACTGGTATTCAAAGCTTCATCTCTTTCCAGCTGATACGAGGCATTTGGAAGTGGAATGGGATACTTTTTGCCAACGCAACTAACTTAAAGGTTTCAACTTTTATTTTATTTTTTTCCATTATTGCTAATAGATTCGAGTCTCTTTCTTTATATCAGCATATCATTTTTCTAAGAATTTGAGATGTAAATGTTTACATTTCATGAGAAACAGCTTTTTTACCAATTTGGAATTGTTTTCGGTTTACAATAATACTGGCGTCACGTCGCTGCTTCGTGCGGGTTTTTAGCAAAAATTTCAAAAATTATAAATTTAATGACAAGCACATATACCTTTCATTTTGCTATGAGCTACTAAAAAAGAGTAAAATTATACACATAATTTTTTGTTCAAATGAATTTCTTGTTCATTTTTTATTTTTTTGTCATTCTCTTTTGAGTCAGAGCGATATTTAATGTTGTTTTATTTTGTGGCAGTAAAACACATTAATTTTCAGGAGCTCTGACCAGCGATAGGCAAACATTCCTTTCGTAGGTCGATCCCTACTAAACCAAAAGTTTGGCCTTGGGACTTGTTAATAGTTAACGCAAAGATATTTTTAATGGAAATTGAACCCGTTTAAATGGGAGGACAAGTGACAAAAATATAAAGAACGCAAAATGCATTATATTCCAAAACCAGCCTAGAACTGGAAAATTGTAGTAATTTCCCAATGAAATTTAAAACTTTTACTTCGATTGACAAACAGACCCATACCTAAAGCAACTTCTTAATCTTCTTAAAATAATAAAAATAAATAAAATAAAAATTTAAAAAAAAATAATTTAAATTTCCCCAGTTCTCATGCTTTCAAGATCTAAACGTTCATAGCGCAGGATATAAGCATAATTTGTTCGAATAAGTAGAAGTTATTTATTTTTATATCCTTCTACCTACGCCGAACTCATACAGGGCTTGCTGCTCATATGCAAAAATAATTTCGCCGCCACCTTCATTTGCATATAGACAATGTTCACTGTGTGCGTTGCTCGAGTGCGTGTCACATAATTTGGTTAACACTAAGCTGCGCAGTAGTTAAGAGGCATCCAAATAGCGACAGGTGACGACCTCACCAATGCCACAATGTGGGCGGCGCATCAGTTGTAGCTGCCCCCGCCGGACAAAACATATGGTGGGTCGCATGCGCGGGTCGTAAACAGGAGAATTAGCTTCGAGCACAGTTTTAAACTACAATTAATTTTTAATTATACTCGTTTTAAATTTAAATTTTACAAATTAGGCTAATGGTATGTTCAACTTAAAGTATTCGTATAACTGTATGAATGGGTCAGTTTTCAAAAACAAACAAAAAGTGAATGACAATTTAAGAACTTTTTGCGCATCGCATTTTTGGTAAAGTAGGAAGTTGGTCGATCACTGCTTTTATCTTGAAAGGAAAATGGAAGGTAGTGAGGGTAATAAAGATACAGAAGTAATAAAATATAAATTCACTTCCGGCTGCCAAGAAGTCTGCTGCGCACTGAAAGGAAAATGCGAAATGGAATTAGAGGAAAATTTAATTATAATTTTTAATATTCGCGACTTACCATGCGATGTAACAGGACTGAGCACATTGGAGCTGGCATGGCGTCTCATGCGGGGTGAGTGGACCTGATTAAAGGTGTTCGTGGTGCTATTGGCGCCAGTGTTGCAGCTGCGGGTACCTTTGGCCATTGCATTGTTTACAATACTTGTCTTTGTTTCCCCCGGTGTATCTGTCGATGGCATGGATTTATAGCGCTGCAGTGAAGTGCGCGGCTTTTTGGCTTGAGTAGCAAGCAGCACCGCCTCGTCCAGGCCCGCCAGCCAATCTTCAGTTTCGACTTCATCCTCTAGGAACTTCATGTAGAACGAAGGACGCTGCTCCTTCTTGTGGCTGGTGGGTGTGGTTCTGATTGTTGGTTTTTGAATCTGCTGGCTGAGCTCAAACTTTGTCTCTACTTGCTGTGTCGCCTCTAACAACAAGCAATCCGTGTCCGAGTCATTAAGAAAGTCGTTTAGTGCAGAATCGTGACATAAGGTTGCCGCTGGGGGGGATATGGACGATGGCATGGACAGCTTGGCGGCAATAGCCGAACGCTTGCCAGCGGTAGATGTATTAGGCATTGGTGCTGATGCTGAAGCAGTTATTGGAGCTGCAATGATTGCATTTGCACTGACTGATAATTTCGATGAGCTGGCGACCTGCTCCAGTTGTTTATGCAACTTATTGCAGCGCTCCTTGAGCAATTCACGAGCGCGTATTTGCTGTGCACGCCACTGTTCGTTGTCCTGCTGATTGCGTCGGGCCACATAACCATTATCATTTTCAGTTTTCTGCTTACAACGCTCTCTAAAATTTCTTTCTGCTGTCTCCGCCGAATTGAAGCCACTGTCGGCGGTTGTATTAACTCTATTATTCCTCCGATTTGCGCTGTTACTATTCCGATTCCAACGCCAACCCACTTCGGGACTCTCGGTGGCCAGGGTTTGTGAGAACATACAGCTCGGAGAAAGGCTTATGTCCAGCCGCGGCGAAAAATCCACGCTATCATCCATACTTAGCGTCTTCTTATTTGGCGGCGTGCACTCAACATTGTTGGCACAGTTATTTAATTCCGCTGTGGGCGACACTGGTGGTGCAGGGGAATCGGCTACGCTTGCGCCTCTGTGACTTTGTGGTGAGGCTACAAGGACAATTTTAATATAGTACTATACAAATGTAGGAAATAAGGCATTTTGTGACTTACAACTATGGCGTTTCTGATGCAGACGATTGCTAAGCGTAGTCGACAGTCTCCTGTGCACTTTAGGAGTGTTTTCCATTAGTTTTATTTATTTAATACAATTAACCAAGATTGAAATCAGTTGGATCAGAATAAAATGCGCTCTAAATTGAAAACGCGTTTGGGAATTTTGAGTACAAAGCAAATTATGCGACTGTCATAAAGCTCATTGCTATGGAACGCTTAGTGTTGCTAACACGAAACAGCTGACATACGTTCGGTATTATTTTAGTATTTAATATGTAAGTTAAATTCAAAACTTTCTCATATTCTATTTAAATTTTCTTTTTTGAACAACAAACGAAAGCTTTTTATTTTAATTTATATAAATACAAGTTTAGTAAACGGTGTGTATTTTTTATAATCGTATAATTATTGGCTAAAACAAACATCTCCAGCAAACCAACACCAATTAAATTCATTGGAAATGTCGCAAAAGGCAAGATACGGTCTTAAACGATCAAGGTTCTTTTGAAAAACTTCAATATACTTTTCTTTTTAAAAAACAAAAATAAAACTATATATTTAATGTGGTATAATTTATTCCTGATATTTTCCATGGCCATACATGCTAAAAAATATGCTACAGTGGAGTTTCTCGGTGCGTGTTGAGTAAGTTAAATCAATAAATTGATTTGTAAATGAATGAAATTATTATTGAATAGATTATATATTCGCTGAAAAGGGAAGGGCTCAGTAGGAGTAAAGTAAAAGACAATAGTCGCGGACCGCCGTGCGTCTGTTCGCTTTAGAGTTTTATTGGAGACTGACACTTTTGCTATACATATTCTTTATGCTTACATTCGTATGCAACAGTGACAGATAACTTGTAGATAACATAAGATTATTATCTGCTTATATTAACATGCGTGCATTGGTACTTATGTTTGTATTGATTTTCAACACCCTTCCTCAATGCAAACATGTTTTACAAAAATTTTCAAATCAAATTTAACAGCTTTGTAAAATGAACATGCTTCGCTTTAGGGAGATTTTTCGTTAAAATATCAGCTATCATTTCATTGGTTGATGTATACTGTAAAACAATTTGTTCTTCGTTTACAACCTGTCTTGCAAAATGATATCTAATATCAATATGCTTTGTTCTTTCATGGTGTACAGGATTCTTAGCTAATTGTTGAGCACTTAAATTATCGCCATGAAGAATAGTTGGAGTACTCGAGTCACCGCAGCCAATCTCCACTATAAGACGCCGTAGGTATATGGCCTCCTTACACGCAGTTGAAAGAGCCATATACTCCGCCTCCGTGCTGCTAAGTGCCACGCTGCGTTGCTTTTCAGATCGCCAGGATATGGGTCCTCCAGCCAAGTAGTATACATAGCCAGTATACGACTTGCGATCGATGCGGTCGCCACCCCAGTCTGCATCCACATAGCCGGTAAGGGGTTGTCCACACTCTTTGTAGTGCAACTTCAGGTCCACAGTTGACGCCAGGTATCGAAGCACATGTTTTACACCCACTAGGTGCTCTGCATGCGGATCTTGATTCCGTTGAGCTAACTTGGCAACGGAATGCAATATGTCTGGCCTTGTTGTAAGCGCCAGCCACATTAACTCGCCAATTGAAGACTGGTAGGATGCAATGTCAACCTTTTGACAATGCTCGCTGGTACATATCACTTGGAAACCAGCATCCAGTGGGGTCGCTGTAGGTCTACAGGTCTCGCATCCATGTTCACGCAATATGTCTTTGATGTATTGCGAATTGCTTAGCGAAATTTCGCCAAGCTCACCGTCGCGCTGCACTTCCATGCCAAGGAACAAATGCAGCTCTCCCTTGTCAACACATTCAAACGATGTTGTAATGGCTGACTTGATGTTGGCCAAGTCCTCTTTTGATCGGCATGCTATAATTATATCATCAACATAAACAAGGATTAATGATAAGTCACCTCTTCCGTTCCTTTTGTAAAGACACGGTTCATTTTCACATGCTACAAAATCTATGCCTTGTAGTACACAATCGAGCTTGGAGTTCCACTCGCGCCCCGACTGCTTCAATCCATATATTGCCTTTTTAAGCAATAAAGCCTTACTTGGATTATTGGGATCTGTGTATCCCTGTGGCTGCTTCATATAAACAGTTTCATGCAGGTCGCTATTCAAATAGGCGGTACACACATCTATCTGGTGAAGGTACAGCTTCAATTCCGCTGCTAACGCCAAAATAAACCGCACGGTTTCCAATCTGCAAACGGGTGAGAACGTCTCTACATAGTTCACGCCATACTTCTGGGAGCACCCTTTAGCAACGAGTCGTGCCTTGAAACGTTCGACTTTTCCATCAGAGTCACGTTTCAGGCTGTATACCCACTTGCAACCAACTGCTCGCTGATCTTTTGGTAAATCAGCCATCTGCCAGGTTTCGTTTGATTGTAGTGCCTGATATTCCTTTTGCATCGCCTCTTGCCAGAATACTGCATGTGTGCTACCAACGGCCTGATCATAGGATGTCGGAACCATTACGTCACTAGCAACCAATGCTCCAAGCACATTGTATTGCTTTCTTGGACGACCAGGTTTACCATTTCGAACAATTTTAGGCCGGCCTGGCCCAATCTTCACAGTATCCTCGTCAGAGTCTTCTTTTTCGACTGCACTCTCATATGCGTTGGAGCTGCTGTCGTCAGAACTGTGCTCACTGTCATCGTCGTCGATGCTTCTGTCACCATCCGTGTGAGTGACATGCTCTTGAACCTCGCATGCAGGAAAATCTACCGTAACGGTATCTTCATTGGTATGACCACCACAACGCTCATCAAATAGAATGTCTCGTTTTTCGACAATCGTCCTCGTCTCTGGGTCGTATAACCGATAGCCTTTGGCTGCTACCGAATACCCAACCATACGGTACTCATGCCCTTTGGGTTTGAATTTGCCTTTACGGGGACCCTTTGCAAGTGCAACTGCAATGGAACCAAAAACTTTTAGATGGCTAACACAGGGTTTCTTACCTGTCCACGCTTCCATTGGAGTCAGGTTGTTCAGTGCACTGGTAGGTGATCTGTTTCTTATGTATACTGCTGTGTTGACTGCTTCGGCCCACAAAGACTCGCCTAGGCCCGACTGCACCAATAAGCATCTGGACATCTCCGTTAATGTCCGGTTTGCTCTTTCCGCCACGCCGTTCTGCTGCGGAGTATAAGCCACGGTCAATTGCCTTGCAATACCATGGTGTTTCAGGAAACCGTTGAATGTTGTGTTGACAAACTCGCCTCCATTGTCGGTTCGAATACATTTGAGCTTTTTATCTGTTTGCCGTTCAACCAAGTTTTTAAATTCGACGAACTTACTGAACACTTCATCTTTCTTCCGCAAAAAATAAACAAATATACGCCTGGACTTGTCATCGATGAAGGTCAGAAAGTATTTGGATCCAGCAAGTGACTTCGTGTCGAATGGGCCGCATACATCAGCATGAACCAGTTCCAACAGCTCTTCGGCACGGTTAGTGCTTACCTTTGGGAATGGCTGTACATGTATTTTGCTTAGCATACACGTTTTGCAATTCAAGTTGTCTGGGAAAAAAACCTTTCCAATACCACGCACTAGCTCTTTGCTGATCACTTCCTTCAGACTGGTAAAATTTAAATGGCCATAACGCTTATGCCACAATGTACCATCTGATTCAGTTGCGGAATAACACCTATTTTGTTTGCCTTGAAACATATAAAGGTTCCCAACTTTATTCGCTTTCAGTATACACTCGCCGTTTTGTATAACTTTAGCAAAATGTGGCCCAAAATGTATAACATTGTTCTTTTGCACTGACCGGCTGACGGACATAAAGTTGCCATTCATTTTCGGTACATACAGTACATCTGACAACACCAAGGTACAAAGTTCTGTCTGTAACTTCACCTCTCCTCTGCCTTCGGCCTTCAGGAAACCAGCGTCAGCTAAACCGATCATTTCAGTGTGCGCAATAAATTTTGAAAATAACGTCTTATCGCAACACATATGGCTTGTTGCTCCGCTGTCCAGACACCACATGTTGTTCTCTATCTTTCCAACGTCCAACGCATTTAACAAGCTGCTCTGCTTTTCCATCTCTTTCTTTGTCGATTGCTTTTTCCCTTCACCGCGAATTTTCTCACGCTTGCACTGTGCCTTGTAGTGCCCTTTTTCGCCGCAGTTGTAGCAAACGACGATTTTTGAATTCCTTTTTGAATTCGCTTTGGAATGCGCGACGATCTGCTGCGTAGCTATAAATGCTCTTGCATTCTCGCTCTCTCCATCTGCATTGCCTCTGCGCTCTCCCTCTTCCATCAGCTTGATACATAACACATCAAATGACGGTAAATTGTCACGCGTCTCAATGGCGACGACAAAATTTTCGTATGGTTCGGGCAAGCTTGACAACAACACGATTGTTTTTAACTCATCATTTAATTCGATGCCAACTGTACACAAACCATCCAGAATTTCGTTAAATTCGTGTATGTAACTTGAAATGCTTTGGCCTTGAAACATGCGTTTGCCTAGCAATTTCTTGTACAGCGACACTTTCCGTACAGGTCCACTCGGCTGATGAACGTCCTTTAACTTTTTCCATGCCTCGTACGAAGTGTTGCAATTTTTAATGAAGCCCAATTGTGAAGCTTTTACACTTAGCGTTATAATTGCTAATGCCTTTTCATCTTTTGGCCTTGAACTCTCAGTATTACTAGGTTCAGCACCTGATGCCACACTCCACAATTCCGCGTGCACTAAGACAGATCGCATCTGTATGCTCCATGAGTCATAGTTATGCTCTTCCAATTTGTCTATTTGATATAGCGCACTCATTTTTTAAATGTTATATTTCTTGAGTCACCAAACGATTACTATTTCACAATACTTTGAACTTCTCCTATGAGCCTATATGCCCTGGGCCCATAACCTATTGAATAGATTATATATTCGCTGAAAAGGGAAGGGCTCAGTAGGAGTAAAGTAAAAGACAATAGTCGCGGACCGCCGTGCGTCTGTTCGCTTTAGAGTTTTATTGGAGACTGACACTTTTGCTATACATATTCTTTATGCTTACATTCGTATGCAACAGTGACAGATAACTTGTAGATAACATAAGATTATTATCTGCTTATATTAACATGCGTGCATTGGTACTTATGTTTGTATTGATTTTCAACAATTATACTACACAACAATGTCTTCTCTTCATATCTGATTGATATAAATGTAAGTGTGTGTGCGCGTTTTTTAAAAAAAATGCTCATAAATGCACATTGAGTCCAACAAATAAATAACGAAAGCAAAATAAAAATTATTGTCAACTTCCCAGACTGGCCTCGATCTCAGCTAAGCTCGTTCATTTCTTTAGGCTTACAAGCCCTTGTTGTACCAAACGGTGCCCAGTTCAGGACGTTTCTTCTTTATATCTTCACGCACTCCAGGCTCCAGGCTGTCGACTTTGATGGCCGCTCGCTGACTAAAGAAAGCGCAGCCCAATGGCGTGGCGAAGAGAAGCACAAAACCACAGAAAAGGGTTTGTAGGGGCGCATTAGCGCGTGGATACTTCTTGAAAAATCCCCGCTTTTCGAGAGTGTTAACCAAAAGAGGTGTTAGCGTCATTCCTGGCATGGCCATAAATATACGACTGGCCACCACAGCAGAAATGCCCACAAAAGCTGCCTTTGTCGATATGCCCACCTCGTTGTTCTTCTCATCGACCAGAACAACGCCATTGCGCAGCTCCCTGTAAAAAGAAATAATAATATTTAAATTGTAGGAGGTAATGTGTAATTCATTTTCGAAATATAAAAACCTGTCTTAAATGTAATGCTTCTGTTCTATGTATATTTCAATATGACTTCAACCTAAGCCGAATATTAGTGCAGTAGCAAACTATTTTGTCGTGATAAAATTTTATTTTTTAATTTCTTCACCCTTTCCGTGATTTTCAAATCCTAGACTAATGGTTTTTAATGCTTCTATAGTAATATACAATCCGATAATGTTAGGCCAGTTTTTTTTTTTAATTTTAATCAGTTTTAATTTTAAAATAATTAAAATCAAAGCCTATGGAGTTGAAAACGAAAATTAGAATTTTTTCCCTTAAAAGTCTCAACCCATTAATTTCATAAATAATATTATCAAATAAACCTTTCATAAGAAGTCCGCTCTGAATAGATAGCTGCAGAATATATGAATTGGGCAAATTTTACTCACTGCATACGCATGCAAGGTATATTGATGCAATTCGCTGAGGCTACAGCTGCCAGCGGTACTAAACGTCCTACCAATGGATTCATGTTCTTCACCATATGGTTTAGCGTTAGTGCTGTTCCGAGGGCACCTCCAGTGGCCAGACAGTAAGAGGTAATTAGTTGTCTGCAAAAAAAAACGTAACGCATTTGAAGAAAGCATACTAAATTTATATCGAATTTCTACATACTGATTGCTAATGGGCGATGTGCCCGATCGGTTTGTATAATTCACTATGGCATTGAACGTTTGATTCACCCATTGCCAGAAGACAACGGCCGGCGTGGACTTGTAGAAGGTCATCATGCCTAGTGGTGGACACCAACGACAGCAGCAGAGCCAACAACGGAGAAAAAATTTAACGCTTGAATAGCTTGTTTATTAATCAACAAAATTTTGTTTATGCTGTGGGCACACGGAAGCCAATCGTTGTAATTTTCTAATTGAATCACAAAACCGTGCCTCGTGCCATATAAAAAGTACAAACAACAACAACAACAGGAGTTGGAGAGGTTGTGGCAAATACTTACAGCCGGTGATCAGCATATTCATGGGCATCTGAGCCGACATGCGTCCAATGATCAACTGCTTCTCGCCCGTCTCCGGATGAAATGCAGAATCGTACAGATACTTGGCCTTCCATATATCCTCGATGGTGGCACACTCGGGAACATCCTTGCCGGCGCGATATTTCAGGACAATTTGACGCGCCCGTTCCAACTGCGCATTGGTGGCGAATATGTTGAGCGGATTGGTGACTAGAAAGAAATGCTTGGCACGTCCCACATAGTTGCTCTGATCGAATTTCGGCTTGTCAATGTCAACACGGGGCAGGGGAGCCATATTCTTCGTATATGTTGCTGTTAGGTGTTGGTGGGGTTTCGAAAAGCCTTTGGATATGGTTTCAGGGTGCTGTAGTTGGTAGATGAATACACATTTTTAAGTATACTAAGGTATTTTTTATACCCTGTATCCGTAGGGTAAAAAGGGTATATTAGGTTTGTGCAAAGTATGTAACATGCAGAAGGAAGCATTTCCGACCCCATAAAGTATATATATTCTGAATCAGCATGACGAGAGAAATCGATCTAAATATGTCCGTCCGTCGGTTCGTCCGTCTGGATGAACGCAAGGATCTCAGAAACTATAAAAGCTAGAATAACCAAAGTTGGCATTCACATTTTCCTAGGTCCGAGAAAGGACGAGTTTATTTTTTTTTTTTAATTTTCCGCCCCTTTCCCCGCTACATAATTTCGTCAATAGCATCCACATTTCAAATGCTACCTAAATCAAACTTTGCACACATAATTTATATATAATTATCTACTGTTGTTTAAAATTTTCAAATCTAAGAAAAGTTATTAGCGAAACAAATTCTCGCCAGTACAACCCCCCAAACTGCAGCAACAAGTTCGCTCTTCTTCTTCCTCTTTTTGCTGATGCTATGGGCTCATATAACTCAGTGACGGAAGTTTACCTGGGTACACGGTATTACACTGTCGGGCTTGCTCGACTTTAGCGTTCTCTCTTGTTTATAATTTTCGCTGTTCTGCCTAATCAGTCTGGGCTTAATCGAAGCATGCTTATAAAGATAATAAAAAATAGCACATGTACGCGGATGCTAAATCAATGTTCATACAAGCATCATACTCAGATTGGAAGCATAGTAACAATAATATTAATAAACGCAAGTACACAAATAAATTTCTAAAGCGACCCCCAGAGGTGTTGTCAGGGAGGGTGTGAAATGAATACGCAGAAGAGGCGGAGCTAACTTGCTATAATAAATATCTTAATTTACGGTTGAAGACTTTTTTCAGCTTGCAATTCTTTGGTCAGTATTGTATTTTAACAAATTGTTTGTTTTAAAACTTCCGAGATTAACTATCTAACGATTATTTTTAAATTTTCACTCGATATAAATATCAAACTTTTCTTGGAGTGAGACTCCCGAATATATGTATAAGTAATTTTCACTTGAATATAACAATATAGTACATGAAGGAACGATCATTTATATTCAACCTTTGAAAATTGTTTCTAAATGCACATCATCAAACAGGCATGCATAATTAAGTATCTATTTTAAGACATTTTATTTGTATACATTTAATAACGCCTTTTAACACATATATTATAGCGAAAGGAGACAAAGTCCATTGAAGCGTTTATACATACATTTTTTGACGACCATAATTTTAAATATTTATACACTAACAATTGGATTCCTATTTTAAATCTTTTCCCAACCACCTCCTTCTATACCAGCTTAAAGTGTACAGAAAATGAAGATCGTGTGCCCATCTCACCAGGATCTTGACTACGCCCATGCAAGACTTCGCTTATCAGTGTGACAGCGACCCGAGAGCGGCGTTTGTTTATATGAGAGCTGCCCCTACAATGCTTATCGGCATTCAGCCGCACACAAATTTCTACCGCTACGCAGCATTCCCACTTATGTATGTACTATACAAGTATGAATATGTGTATTCTATAACTCGCTGTGCTGTATTTACTTATGTACACACATAATAATACGCGTCCAATTTCCGATTCTCGCCGTCTTTCACTTGTCAACCGTCAGAGAATGTTCGATTATACATTCACTTGCAGGCGCATAGGCAGAAAAACAAAAAAATGAACAACAACAATGCTGTATGTATACAAAAGACAATCTATGGTCAGAATTTGCATTATATAATTTAGTCTGGCGCTGGCATCATATTTTTGAAAAATCCATAAATCTTATCAGCTTGTGCCGGGCACACAGCTGAGTTCCATAAACAAAATAAAAACGCAGCATTCAGCATTTGCTTCCAGAGCTCCAAAATTTAATCTAAAGAACAGGTTGCAACACTTACTCGCGCAGCAAATGCGTGTGTGTATGCGCGTAAATGTGTATAAGTGTGTTTTGTTTGGGTAGGTATACAAATTGTATAATAATTTCACTGAAACGCCACCAACACTCGCGCGAACCACGCACAACCACTTGCTACCACTTTGGCAGTGAATAAACGACTGAAACAGAAGCAAGAGCAAAAGCAGCACCAACCGAAGCCCCAAACAGTGTGGCGCTTGTTCCAGTAAGCTTTTCAATTTGTTTACCGTTGCGTATGAATATAATTTCTTTAGTTGTATAGTGTAAACGACGGCGAGAACAACGCTGCTGACATTGAAAAAAGCTAAAGGGCGAGAGCTTTCTTTCTTTAGCATAAGCATAAGCTTCGGGAGCATGGCATAGCACTAAGCTGACAAGTGACAACGAATGCGGCTTAAACAGGCAAATGAAAATTATAAAATTAAGCTTTTTAGCTTTTTAGAAGCCCTCACCACTATTAATTGGTACGGCTAGGTTTTTTTTTTTTGATGATGCAACTTTCAATAAATTATGAGTAACCCAAACATATTACATTTTAAAAAAGTCATTGAATTACCTTTAATTTCATATCAAAACATGCACACGTTTCATATAACAATAATGGAAAAAAATCAATTGAAATAAGACAACTTCCATAATATTTTTGACCATTATTAATTGGTACGGCAATATTATATTTTTAAATAATATTGTAAAAAAGTAAAATATCAAAAAAAAATTGTAAACTAACTTTATATAAAAACATATGCCTTTGTAATTATAGATAAGGTTTCTAATTTTTGAGCACAATGGCACAAGGTAAGCAAGTTTGTGAGAAAGGTCGAGCTTCAAATATAGAAAAATGCAATCAGGGCAACAGCTATAGAGATATTGCGGCAAAATTGTCTGAAAATATTGGGAAAACAGTAAATCAAGAATGGACACGGCAGGAAATGAGAATAACTTCTATAAGGTATGATTGCAGCTCCTGCTGAACATAAAACTTATATATTTTGATTTTTGTAGGCCAAAGAAAAACTTTTGCTCACAGCTTTGCAAAAAAAAAGGCCGATAAGGGCAAGAGAAGGACAGAACTCTATAACTCTATTATTTTTAGCGATGAATCCAAATTGTATGTGTTTGTAGGTGATGCTCAAAAACGAGTGTGAAAGCACTTAACACTCACTTACTTTCTTCTTATATACAATAAAGAAAACCCGTAAGCCCAAGTGTTGATTTAACTATTTAGACGCAAATGCAAATCCAAAAGGTGTGTTTTAGTAAATAAATATAAACTGTGAGCTATTTTTAAATCAAACAAGTTTACTTATATAATTTTGATTACTATATAACAGGGCTGGTGACAGATGATTTCGATTCGCGCCCAAGATTTCTCTTTTAAATATTTCTTTCTATTTTGTCCGAGGAATAAATATTTTCAAAAATTTAGCACAAAATGGTCTGATTGGTCTGGAAAGTTTCGTTTCATATTGACCTGAGCGTACGAATATGAGTCAGAAGTAAATATTTAATATTTTCATGTTCAGCTTAAATTTAAAGGTATTAATTTTTTAGTTAAAATTAGATTTTCGTTAAAAGCGAATATGCAGCGAAGGTGCAGCAAGAGCGCAGTTTTTGTATATACTTGTAAGAGAGAAATTATGAAGCTACCCTCAACAAGTCATTCAACAAAACAAAAATAAAGTTTAAATTTTGATCACATCCCACATTTGTTTGTAGAAGAAAAAGGTTTCTTTTAACCCTCATTGCAGCTTAATTTCAAAATTATAAACTAAACATTTAATTTACAACAGCGATTTTGTATTATTTTCTGTATATTTATGCATTTATTTTTGGAATTCATTGTTAGACTAAACATAACATCAACAGTTTTGTGTGTATTAGTAATAGTTTACTCACAAATAAGTGTGGTAGGTATTATTGTTATCATTTGGTTTCACTTTGCTCATAATAAGTTTTTAAAAGTTGAGTACAATTTTCAAGTTGTTTTGTTGTTGCTGCTGTTGCCGTAAACAGCAAATATTATAATAAACATAAATGTCCGAGTCTGATGTTGCAAATATGTTGTTTGTTGCTTCGAAGTATGTATAATTGTACATTTATTTATTTATTGTACATTTTTGTATATGTATGTATGTATGTAGTATGTATCGTATGTTTAGAGTACGCATTTATGAATGCATATGAATGCTTGTAACACCATAATTATAATCAATATATAATATAACTACATATGTATATGCATATATCATTTATAGTTTGCAATTTGCATTAGATATAGATTAAAAGTAACACGAAATATACATTTTGCTTTAATTTACTTCGAGGATATTTAAAACAAACGGAATACAATTTATTTTTGTTTGTATATAGCACATAATCTGTTCAACTTCTCAGTACAATTTGAATTGAATATTTTGAAGTTAATTGATTGGTAATTGAAACTGTTTAATTGCAACTATTTATGTTAAAGTTCTTGTATTGTAATTTATTGTATTTATGTATCGTATGATGCATGCATATCTGTGTATGTATATATGTATGTAGGTAGGTATGAATGCAACTCAACGCCCTGCATATCGTATAATTGCTCTATAACGCAGCCTAGCATCTCGCTAACAACTTGACTCATATATATTTATATGTATCAATATGTATATATAAATGTACTCATATTTCTTCCTTGCAGCATATTTGATAGAGTGGGGAAGAGCCTTGTACTTGAGGAATGCCCAAAAAGCATTTAATATATAGTACTATGTGTGTATATATATGTATGTATAGTTTAGTTTGTATACATACTATATTGGTATGTCTTTGTGGGATTTTGAAATAGGCGATTGTTCGTACGTTTATTGTTAATGTTGTTTAGTATAGCAGTTTTTAGGAAGTCGGTTTAAAACATTTTGGAATTCAGTTGACCATCATAGCGATTCTGTCGGCCATAAAATAGACTAAGATTTGTCGGAATATGTTCTCATACTATGTATTTACTCGTATATGTAGTATGTAAGTTCTTGAGTGCGTTCATAAAGCAGTGCATTGCCCACTATGTTAGTTTTATTTTGTTGATTTATGCTTTATTAAAGTACTACATTGACTGCCGTACTAGGTGATAGTATAAGTACTATAACTGTCTACAGTTGCTTGCAGCTAAATTCTGTTATTGTTTCTGTGTGATGTTTTGTTGTTTAATGGTTTCTTATGAGCTCTTTAGATGCCTACAGATAGTAGTTACTAACATAAATGCAGCTAAAATTCAACTGTTTCTTGCATAAAATGACCAGGAAGGACCCACATCTCCGCTACTCTGTGTCGCAGAGTTTTCTCTCGGGTCGTAGGTGCTATTGGAACATTAAGCAGACACTTTACGGACGATAACGCAAACTACATACTAACTGAATTTTCTTATAAATGTACTTCATAAGCTTGAACAAAACAAATCTTCAGTGTTGGCTGTGAAATGTAAGCGATATAAATAAGTAAATAAATCATATTTAAAGCTATTTAAAACTATATAAATTCACGTATTAATGACCTAGGGCTTTAACTTGTGTAGACAACGCAATGTAAGATGGAAATACTTATACAGCTTTTAGAATATTATATAGTTAAATAGGTTTTTATATATACGTTACAAAGATTAACTAGCTTTTAAAATGTAAATTTAATATTCAATTTAACAATTTATACATGACTCTAAAATATAGTTTTTTTTTTGTATTGCATGTCAGTGAGTGTGTGTATATATATGTATATGTATATAATTGTATGTTTATATGTATAATTTGATTTTTCGTTTCATTATTTCATTATGGGTTATTAAATTATTTATAATGTCTTCTATATAAGCACTTAACGCCACCGAGCTGAAGCAAAATTAATAAATATAGTACCACAAAATTGTACAATGACATTTACAATATTTATATTTGTGTTTAAATGTTTTCGATTCATGCATATATAAAATACACTGTAAATTGACATTAATTTATATTAATTTAAATTGCATTTGCATATTTACATACGAAATTGACGTCAATAATTGCCTTAAAGTTTTTAATTCATACTCGTAATAATCCGAAAGGGGTTTCTAAATAAAATCAATGTATTAGCGGCCACAGAATGAGCGTTTATTAAACTATTTGTTAATCTGTTTCTTGTATTATCTTTATGAATAATTTAACTGGCTCTTTGTAAATTTGTTCAATGTATAAAATATATTTATGTACTCGTATAAAAAGTGCTTGAAAACTCAAACACACCATTTAAACATATGCATGTATCTACATCAAAATGATTTTATGAATTGTTTCTAAATTTTCTTTATGTCTGTATTTGTTTTTGTTTTTTATTATTTCTTCCATTAAGTGTGTATACCCAAATCAAAATTAAGCTTTCGATCAAAAACGTAACAAAATTCGTTGCTTTATTCGTCGACGTAGTGGCCCGCATATTTTGTTCTGTTGTCTAATTATACGTTTAAAAACTATTCAAACCAAAACATTTAACACTTACTCTGACTATCGGTGCCAAACAATTTAATGGAACTGCGAATTTTGTGCTAATCAAGTGGACAAAATGGGATAAAACACAACAAATTTATAACAAATTGTTTACATAATTTAGCATTATTTAAAATTTAAAAATACACATTTATAACAAAAATCTCTCTGCCATATTTGTTATGATTTACAAAAACAAACAAATGAGTTTTTCGAAAATTTTGCGTTGTTGGTTTCCTTATTGATCCTTAAAACCATTGCAATTTTGCATTAAAATATTGTTTACTCGCTTAATTTTATAAATTTCCCCCTATCTACAACGCTATTTGCTAACACTTTCATGTATATTGTTTTGTTTTTTTTTTATTGTTGCCTAAATATAATTTATTTATATATTTTCTTCTTTTGCCATTTTGGTGCGATGTAAAAATGTATGTAAAACACGCTTTGACTATTAATTTTGTCCATTAATTAACATTAACATTATGTTTTTGTTATTGTTGTTACTGCGGCTATGTATATGGTTTTTGGTGCTGGTGATTAGAAACTGAAGACTGAAGTCCTGCCTGCATGTATTTTGTATATTCTAATATGATGTTCGGTCTGTTTACCTTTTACTGTGCTTAGTACGTGCCTGTAAAGGAGATTAAATTAAAAAGAGTCCTGGTGAATGAATCGCTTTCACTTACTAGGACATTCGGGTGGGTTCATGTAGCCAAAGACGTTCAACTCATAGAGCGACGCCAGTGTGATGAAGAACAGATACCAGAGCATGAGTATAATACCTAGACGTTTGTCCAGCTTCCAGCCATTCAAATGCGTCGAGAGTATTAAGAAGACAACGGTGGAGAGTAGGGAGAGTGTGGAATAAGCCAGCCCTGTAATCAGGTAATCATGCAGTTAAGATTAGTACCATATGCATTAGTTTCTTCAGACTCTCACTACGCCAGCTAACAATCATGAACAGTTAAGACACATGCTGGTAAGCACACCAAGGTATTACAAGCTTACATACACACTCGCTAGCAGGCAGCTAGGACGACGTTAACAAGCACTAAGAGAGAGAAGGGATAAGTTGGAAATACATCGTACATACCCTTCGATATTACATTGACGTGCGAGCCGGGCTTTATGATGGCTGTTTGTATGAACCAGGGAAGACCTAAGCACACTAGTATATCAAAGACATTCGAGCCAATCGCATTTGAAACGGCCATATCGCCGTAGCCCTCTTTGATAACGGCTATTGAGCTTAGGGCATCCGGTACAGAAACGCCAGCAGCAACAAACGTCAGACCCATTACCGTATCCGGTATGGCCAGCGTTGAGCCAATGACCGTGATCATCCAGACCATGAAATATGAATAGAACGAGATCCAGACCATCGAGATGCAAAAGGTGAATGGATACCAATTCCGATACTGTTCGGTTCGGCAATCTGGCATAGTTTTCTTGCATAGAAAGTGTATGGGGTAGACCACATACCAAGCAATTAGTGCTGGCAGGCCGCCGTCTGTGGGCCGTACGAGTGGATCTGGACGTGGCTCACGGTTTTTGTCTGTCGATTTATAGTACTCGACGCCGCCGGACGTTGCAGGCTGTGGCTTACCCACTGCCGGCTTGCCCGCTCCTCCGGCAGCGGCAGCGGCTGCTGACTCGCCCGTGACCACAGACTCGGGCTGGTCGGCATTGTAGGCCATGTTCTCTTGACCCTGCTGGAACTGACCCATACCCCAATCATCGACCGCTGGTTGGTTGAATCTAGCACCAGCTGCCACTGGCTTCGAGCCCTCATCGCCCCAGGCTGCATCTGGATCCCAACTGGCATTGGGATCATTGCAGCTCTGGTAGACGTTCTGCGCGTGCTGTTGTTGTTGCTGCTTGGAGCCTGCGGCACCATCGTCGTTGGCATCCTTGGACAGACTAGTCTGCTGTTGTGTGCCCTGTGTGTAAGAACCTTCAGGCACATTTTTGTATGTTACCAACGACGATTGTTCCTCCTTACTGGGCAGTTTAAATGGCAGATTAAGGCCCAGAGCCCAACGCTCCAGCTCCGTATTGAAGTGCAGGGCAATGCAATAGCCCACATAGCATAGCAGCATGAAAATTGATTCGAACTGTAAATAATGTCGACATAAGCCTTATGCGCATACAAGTCTGTATCCATCAACCACTTACGCAAGAGATCACATCATTGAAGATAATGACGAGCATAACCAGAATGGAAACGCAGTAGAAGAAGCAGTCCCGAACCAAAGGCCACCAGTTCAGCTGGCAAACAGTGCCCGAGCAGAGTGCGCACACGGATATGACGAACATTATGTTAAACACCGCCGAGCCAATGACCCCACTTATTCCAATATCATCTTTGGCGAAGAACACACCAATCACTACCGTGGCTAGCTCCGGTGCCGAACTTCCTGCAGCCATGAACGTAGCGCCCGCCACATCGGGCGATAATTTGAGTTCTGAGAGAATATAACATGAAGGAAATGGTGAATAATATTATCCTTTCTATCTCTATCTTTTTCAAAAGAAATAAACGAGGCAAATCTGAATCTGAAATCTATAGCTGTGAAGCATCTATCGAGTTTTTTGCAAGTTAAGACTTCTTCTTCTTAAAATTTCCCGATTAGGGAACTTGCTTTCTTTTAAACCAGAATAGTAACTTGTTGTTTTGTTTTCGTAAAATCTTTGAAAGCTCAATTAACGTTGCTCCCTCTTCCGAACCAGTGCATTACAGTTCCCTATCTCTATTTTAATGTGTCCAAGCTTACGTCGCTTACTGTTCCATAGCTAAATACGTATAGTAAATACTTACGGCCACTTGTTAAATAGCTGGCTCACCAAAAATGTGCTAAGAAATCTTTGCAATACAGAGTAAAGACTCTACTCTTTTCAACCTTTCCTTTCCGAAAGAAGTAACATTAATTATCTTCTAGTCCATATTCACCTTCGCACAGACGGTCCAGACTGGCCACAAAGTACTCATCACATACGATGGCGAGGCCGAAGAATGTAAAGATGGCCACGAGTACATGTATAATAAGACCGCCATGCTGCCGGGCCCACTTGTTCATCAGGGGCTGTGGAAACTGTTCGATGGCAGGTGGGGTGCAGTTCTCTCGCCTAGGTCGCCAAGTGGGTACCGCACCATGCGGCGGAGCAGCTGTCGTTATCTCCAGAATTGTTTCCTAATGAAAGCCGTATATTAAATAAAATTTAAAACATATTCAACTCTCACCTCTGTAAGCAGTGTCTCGGGCGTTGTTACCAACGTGTCACCCTCTCCTTCCTCCAGGTTGCCCACGTCCACCGGCAACTCTCCTGCTTTACTATCTCCCTTGGCCGAATAAATGCTGACACAGTAATAGATCAGAAATAGAAGGCCCATGTTCCACATGCGCGCACGGCGTGAGCGTCTGCGTACGATCTGTGTGAGGCATGGTTAAAAGATTAGCAACCAAGTTTGTTGACTGTATAAGCTCCCCGACCCCAACGCACACAAACACGCACTCACAAAGCGGTCCGGCTTAAGCGCCGCACAAAGCGTGCCATAGACAATAGCGAACAACCTCCCGCCCCCTTAACAAGACCTGAAATGCAAAGAAAGTGCGGCTTATGTGCTCGAAGTCGCACGCCTGCAAGCGTCTCTGATAAGGTTATGTGCACACTTATTTATATAGAAGCCTACAGGCAGAGAAATATTTGATTCTTCACAGAAAAATTGACACTTTATTGCATTCTACGCACACCGATTCGATTCAAAGCATTAAAATTATAGCATATATGGTATGGTACTAGTATACAAGTATAGTATAAGTATGTGCGATTTAAAAAAAGAAATGTGGAATGATAGACTCAAGAAAGCTTAAGCACAGAAGCTAAGCCAATTCTTCAATTTTCGAAGATCTAAATATCTACTTAGTAACTTGCGCCCTGAGGCGTGTGTATAGTTTTATTCGTGACTAAGAACGCAAATTTGTTTTTTCAAATGTCCTAATTTCATGGACTCAGTTGATAAACATTGATTATCGCAAAATAATAAAGAGTGGAAAGGCAGAGAAAATGGGGGCTTCGAAACTAAATAAATTGCTCAGTCCTTTAAGCCACTATTCATCATTTCTCCCAGTGTATACATAGGAATAGAAATACATACATGTGTGTAAATATGAGTGTGCCTAAGTAAATACGTCACGTTAGTCGCAAGCTTATTAAGTTTATTGCCATTGAGTTTGTTTTACCTTTGGTTTTTCTGCCTGCTCGCTACTGACTGCTTTCTGACTGTGACTTGGCAGCCCGCATTACGTTTAGTTGCAGGAAATATGATAGCAGTATGTATGATTGAGGTTGAGTTAAAAGCAAGACCCATAAGCGCAACAACTGCAAGACGTCAGTATGCCAGTTGCAAAGTTTTCCGATGACACATGGGACTGTTGGTCAGTGGCTGACACGACAAGGCAAGTTATTTAATATAGCTCACAGCTATGTACGTTTTTGTACAATTCTACATACACATATATAGTTAGATATTTGTGTGGCATTCATATCTACTACAATGTGGTTAGACAGCTGCACAAAGTGAATGTGGCCATCAATGTTCGACTTGTTTGCCAGAGAGCCCCAACTTTTAATTAGAAATGGAAACGGATCGCAAGAGAATGACAAGTCGAACGATTTACGAACATAAACTACGTTGTGGTAATTATGCACTATTTGCTCATCATAACTTAACACAAGAGAGAACGCTACAGTCGAGCAAGCCCGACAGTGAAATACCCTGTACCCAGGTAAACTTCCTACACTGAGGTACCTTTTTACCCTACCTTACCTTTTTACCCTACGGGTACAGGGTATAAAAAAAACAGAAAAGACTGCTAGAGTCGAGCGAACTCAACACTTAAATACCCTGTACCCAGCACCACAAAAAAGAAAGAATTATAAAAAAATTCTTTTAAAAATTAATTTTAAAAAATGAAACTTATAAAATAAATAAATTACAGTAAATTTAAAATATTTAATACATGCAGAAATAAGTGGCGACATATGTTTATGTACAGTTTCCACAGCATACATTTACATCAGAATCGTGTCTATGCGTGTTTGTATGCGTATATGTGTGCAGTACAAAAAGTTAAAGTAGCAACAACAATTACAATTGCGGGCAGAGATTAGATTTATGGCTATAACTTTTTTCATAATTTAGCTATCATGATGAAACTTGGTGTATGAACATATAATCACTAACGAAATGAAATACCAATTTGAGTTAAAACTCTAAGAAGTAGGAAGTTATGGAAAATCACTAAAAGCGGGTGTGCAGAGCTAGGGCAGAGATTACATTTATGCCTATAATGCAACGGCATTTGCAGCGTTACGCAATTCCTACATTTAAATGCACTGTATCCAGTTCAGTAATCGCATGAAGTAAATATTAATAATTATATTTTAATAACATTTTTTGCCTTGAGAAGAAATTCTATACGAATATTTCCAATGTAAAACACTGGGCAAATATGACTAGAATTCCGTTATCTGCGGATGTAAAACATAAATATAAAGTCAAGTATGTGTTATAGTAATTCAGTTATTAGTTATTCATATAATATTTATAATAACAATAAGGTCTCTAAAATGGCTTTTTAACAAAAATATATAAATAATATGAATGTACGAAATATCAGCGTTTAAAACAATTACTCCAATGAGAAGATTAGCAACAACAAAAAGCAAAAACATTTTAAAAATAGAAAGAACTTTATGTGTAAATCAAACTCACGTTAGCACAAATGGCTCAACATCTTGAACTCACTACGTATATGTACTTATATAAGTAATATGTATTAAAATCGTTTATTAAGTGTGCATACTCTATATTTATTAAAACACACTGTGCTACAAACTCAATGCACGTTGGGTGTATTTTTTCTTCGATTTACTATTTGTATTTCCGTAAGTACACGATTAATCTAAAGGGAAATACCGAGAAAAACATAAGCTTGTCCTTTACAGGACTTTAAATAATATGCATACCAAGTTAAGTAACTGTGGCTATGGTACTCTCTTAGAACCTGGCGTTCATACAGACAGACATTCGGGCAGACGGACGTGTTTAAGATAATGTATACTGTGTAGTTCATCAAGCCCCTTTCTCGTACAAAAACCGAACGATTTCAAAATACTTCAGGCGTCTGTTACTGGGGCTTTCACATCATTTTCCACCACGACAATACTCCCAACATAAAGCTGAAGTTGACAAAATTATATTCAAATAATATCAATACTTAATTTTTTAATGCCGTCCGAATTGTTGTTCATGGTCCACCACATTTTACTTTTCGATTCTCCATAACAATTATTCGCAATGTGAATTGTGAATGTGGTATACTTTTAAGCCACTTGCTGCAATTTGTTATTAAAAATAAAACAACGTCACATATTTGTGGTTAGTCATAGTGCATGCAGCCTGTTGCAGTTGTTTTCCTAATCCGAAATCAATCAATATTTAATTACAGCAAAACACATTTTCCACGTACATATGAAATTCATATTATGAATATATAGTACATGCATGTATTTCAATTAGTGACACATTTAAAGCTGATAAACAACAGAGGCTGCAATGAAAAGAAACGAAACCAAAAGCAAAAGCAGCGTTCAAGAGGAAATGGAGCGAATCAAAAGCGGTTTGTACCTCAAAAAGCTGCTGCATACTTTCGAAGGCAGCAAAGACAACTGAGGACGGCGCCATGGTGAGTGAGAATGTCACTGTCATCCAAACAGCCAGACAATTGGCCAGACGTGCCGCATCCATATGACATCATGTGCATGTAAGTATGGGTGTGGGAGTGTATATGTGTGTGCGTGTTGTGTTTACTGAGAAATGCGCAAATCGCGACACAAACTACACAACAATAAATGTCATTGAATAAATTTGCTGAGCATTACAACCATTGGGTTGTTATTGGCAGTTGTTTGTTTTTGTTGTTGTTGTTGTTGTTGTGTTTGATTCTACTACTGTTGCTGGTGTGATAACAGCACAAGTTACGCGCAGCTGAATGAACAGAAGTAGCAATAGGAGCAGAGGCAGCAGCAAGAGAAAGAGAGAAAGGCGTGAGAAACGCGAAGAGTTTTCACCACGGTGCCGAAAGGACAAAGTATTACAATCAAAACTGGGAGGGCGAAAAATCAAAAAGGAGCAGCGGCGTCTGGCTGACTAACTGTAAAACCACCACACGCACGCACACACTCAGTGGGAGGTGCCCCCTCTCCACCCACTCCCACTCCAGCGAAACGAAAGCGCACATCATTGTGGGCCACTCGGTCAAAAGCGCCTCACGCCGCACATTATCGATTTACAGAGCTGGCCCAACACAACGCTCACTCACTCACTACTTGCCCCCTTCATACACTCAGGCTTGGGTAAGGTTACAAATCGGGTGTGGGTACGATAGCTGAGTTTTTACTGTTAGTTACAGTTGTTGCTGTAGTAGATGACGCGCACTTGGAGGCTGCGGGCGGCAATATGGGGCGCCGACACTTCTTATAAAAATAAATATCTACCCTAACTAAATAGATGAGCAACGGCAACGGATGAAAGAATATGAAACTGTAGCAAGTTAAGTGAAAATGTCTTTGTTGTTGCTGGCGCATTGGACGACCGGGCTTACATCATATTTTCATTCTTAGACTCTCTTCGGTGCCCACGAAACAAAAGACAAAAGATAGCGAATAGTAGTACATAGTAGTAAGTAAGTAGTATGGTGATAAATGGCGTAGGAGAAAGCAAAAGTGTCTCTGACGCTGACAATTGACTGCCTCCATTATGCTTGCCCGAATGTTGAAGAAATTGCAAACAATTGGCCGTGTGCAAAGTCTGGGCCAAATTCAATTGACTTTGCGCTATAAACAATTTTGCATAAGGCATTGTATTATATGCTTCTGTATATATACGTGTGTGTATGCATGTGTGTGTGTGAGAAGCGGAAACACACACAAACACTCACATATATCGCAAGACATTTCATAATCACTCGTGTGTCACACACTTTTCGAACCCCACTCTCACATGCACACATTTATTTCGCTAACTTGGCCATTTAATATTTACCATTTTCACACTTTATTTATGTTGTTAGTTATATGTATGTATTATTAATTAATTTATAATTAGCTTTTAACACAGCACTTTTTTGTGATTAAATTAAACTTTTTAGTATTTTTCTTGTTGCAAACTTTCCCTTTATGTCAATTTACTTGCAATTGGGTGTACGGAAAACAGATACAGAAGAAAAACGTTGCATTGGAAAACATGCGAGAAAATTAGTTACTAGAATTTTTTCACGCTGGCCTCGCTATCGTCGTTCGTTATGGACCCCTTTTTCTTATAAATATGTATGTATTTATAACTTCACTTGTGCTTCATTTCGTTGCCCTTTTATTTTTTGTTATTGTTAATTATTTCGTTTCAATTTTATGGCCAAAACGGCTGGCTCCAACCGCACCAACCAGTCAACATCCGTCGAGCCGGAGGAGTATTGTGTGTGTTGCGTGTGTGTGTGTGAATGTGTTTTCGGCGTGTGTGTAGGTGTGTGTGTGTCTATGCGCGCAATATCAACGGGCCGGACGAGCAAAGCTTTGTTTTTGCTTGGCAAGCTTAGCGCAAACTGACGGCAGAATAAAATCTGCGAAGAACTTCGTTGGGCTGCAAGAGTCGAGTCAAGAACTCACCAGAGCCGACGACGATTTGGCGACGCACACACTGCCGAGAGACAGCAGGAAATGCTTAGAGTGTGGTGCTTAGGAAGTGCTTCAGTGTGAGTGCGCTAGATGGATAGTTGGGGGTGGTGGTTTGCAATTGAGAGCGTGCTCAGTGCTAACAAGCAAGCGATTGTGTGGGTGTTTCAATTAAAGCGCCATCTAGTTAAAGCTTTTGCTATTGATATTACAAATTTAAAAGTCTTTAGAAATTCAATCCGCAGTAATACTAAGTAATAGACTTATAGTATGTGGAATATGTATATTCTACACTTTCGATAATGGGGGAACTAATTTTGGTTTCCAACACATGTTTTTCTTTTTTTTTTTTTTTTTTTTTTTATTTTACATATATTTAATTATTAAATTTAAATATTTAATTTATTAAACTAGACATGTTTTTCAATTCCGATTCCGATTTTCATTTCATTTAACAACCAAAGTATGCTACAGTATATTAATTTTTTAATTATTATAATTCAATCAACTTATTTATACGAGTATATGATTTATATTTTATAATTTGCATTTCATCAGTTAATTTACTATATTTTCATCAGTTAATAGTAAACAAGATAGAACGCTACAGTCGAGCAAGCCCGACAGTAAAATACCCTGTGCTCTCCACAAAAAAAGGAAAATTAAAAAAAATTATTTAATTAATTAATTAATTAATTAAATTAAATATAAAATATTCAACACATGCATATAATAAATTTACATCAGAATCGCCTCTATGTCTATAGCTTATTTCCAAAAATAAAGATCTGTCCATAAATATAATCTTGTGCTTGTCTAGCAGTTGTTGTTAATAAATATATGTATGTACGTAGGTGTTGCATACTTTTATACAATTACCAAGTTCCCAACAAATTATAAATAAGAAGTGATTTGGCGACTAGCATCTCATGCATGAGGCAAGTATTCCAATGAATGTGGAATGTATGTACATAGGTAGACTCATATAAGACAAATGACCAAAAAATTATTCATTGCATGAAAAACAATAAGCCGACGACATTGATATTTGTTTTAATATTATTTATATGCGCCCCTTCGTGAGCCACAACGTCAAGTGTTGCCTGGGCAAACAACAAACAAACGACAGAGACTGAGTCGCAGTATTTGAAGTGCCGCAAGGACATCAATTGTCAGGATTTTGCCACATTAGCCTTTACATTGCGGCCTGCTGTCGGTCCCTTAGATGTGCAACGTGACATTGCTACATGCCAGGGCTCTGATCTTACCGACAATTGACGGCATTGCAAAAACAAAAAAGGGAGAGAAAAATAACAAAGTTCACAATGACGAATTTACCTGTTGACACCTTGAAAATAGACAATTCGGCTAATTAATAAAGGCAGCAGGAACTTGAGAGCATATCTGGGATCTGTATAGCTGTGTGAAGGCTGCTGCCATTCAATTCTAACAGGTTATATGTCTCAATTACAAGCAGTAGACACAAAGACTGGTAGCAAAGCCGATCTCTTCGCGTAGGCGAATCCGAACAGAAACCAACAAAGAATTGTATTCGCAGTTCCTTGGAATTGCAGCGGCAGTGCCTTTTGAGCCGCAAAATAACGCAGAAATATGACTTTGATTCACAAATTGTCGTGGCAGTGAAGTGCTTAGAATCTTTGCTCCTTTTATAACAAAAAGTGGATGCTCAAACATTTTACCGACATGACTGAAATGCCTATTGTGCAAGCCAACTTATGGAATAAGAAATAGAAAGGAATATTTTGGCTTTTTTTGTTCACAATTTAACAAATCATTTCAAAGCCAAATTTTCCTTTAATATGTAATTTCAAATCCTAAAACGATATAACCATACAATGTTCTAGTGCGACAGTCTAGCTCACGGCTTGTATTATCTTGTTGTAAGTACGCACCCTTAAATAATACAGAAGATTTTATTAATTTTACCGACATTGAGCATTCTTTCCAAAATATTATTTAAATTCCGGTTTCGATTCACTTTGGAAATAGAATTAAACATAATGGTTTAAGGTATCCCTAAACTTGTAGGGTATAAGTCTTACCCTGGAAATGTTAAACAAAATTAACAAAGAGAAAACGTAGCTTACCCAGTTTTATATGAGTATACACATACTTGTATGATCAGTATAACAAGATCCCTCGATATAGATATGTGGGTCCAAAAACTTTTGAACCAAACTTGCTATGTTAACCTGTCTTATCCTTACAAGGACAAATATTATAAATGACAAACAATATACTGCCTCGTTTTATTGTCTATGTCGTTTCCATAGGACTAACACAACATATTTGTCAAATTAAAACTCAAGTTAAAGTGCCTTCATATGATAGACAATTGACATACATACATAAGATTGTTGTGGAATAATTTGGTTTAATATTATTTCAAGCTTAAACTACAAGTCTTAAGAACTACTAAGAACTAAAATTCATTCATAAGTTGAAATATGATTGTTCCTTTTGGGGGTCAATTGACCTAACTTTCTAATATAATCGGGGCATAGCTGACCGGACGGATAAATAAAGGGCCCTCCAAATAATAAAAGTGGACAGGTAATATTAATACAAATTTTCTTAATAATTCTTAACATTTCGTGCTAAGAATAGTTAATTTTGTATCGCCTAGTTTTGTGCTGAAAATGTCAGAAGCAAGTGATGGAACAACTTTGGAATCTATTCATTGCCACCAGCGCTGCTATTAGTTTTACATTTAAGAATTAATTAAAATTTATCGTCCAAAGACAACCGTGCCCAAGGTAAACTTTCAACTTCTGCTTATCCCAATCCCCACATCGCTCAATGAAACTGGCTGCGTGCCTAAACCTTCATAGGTGGCACCAAATGATTCACGCTTGACGCTAATGAGCCACCGACTTTCAAATAAGTTTATAAACTAAATACAAATATTGTAACTAATATCCATAAGCTAATCGATTTTATGCGCACAATTTGAGCGGCGTCCGGACGTCTGAGCTGCGCTGCGCCAGGACTCTGCGGGACTTGTAGCCTTATTGGCGACCGCACTTAAGGATATCGAAAGGTGCGCTCGCTGACGCAGCCACGTTGTCTGTGCCGCACAATCGACGGAGCAGTCACAATAGCTCTAAGCATCTCGGCCTTTGACGCAACTGCCCAAATTGGCTCGCTCATCATTATTTATATGCCACTTTCTATTGAAAAGCAAAAGACAAAACCAAAGACTGACAGAAAGGGAAGGTGTCGAACCAAAGGTGTCAGCCTTGCTCAAGGCCTACAGATGTACAAATATATACATACACTTATATAGTTTATATATATGTATATGTATGTGTGTGTGTGTGTGCAATAGCCGTGCGCAATATCGGGGCGAAGACGTGGCACAGTTTTGTTGTCTTTTGTTTCATTGTTTGGCCCGCTCCTCTGCCACTCGAGTGCCGAGCGATTCTGGTCGTGGTTTAGGTTTATAGCAGGCTGGGGCAATCCTTTTGTATTGGCGACTCAATAAAGAACTTATTGTGGACAAATTTCGACATTTTTCAAGCGCTGTTTTCGGTTTGTCTATCTGCGTTTTAGCTCGTCTCCATTTCAAAAGGACATGCTTGACTTTTAACAGGAATCAATTTATTTTATGCGAAATAATCGTGTTGATGGCTGCGAGCTCGCCCCTTTTTCAGTTGCTTGACGTTTTGGTTTTGCTTTTGACTTTGCTTTCTGGGTTTTGGGTTTTGGGTTTTTCACGCACCAACCCCGCGTTCCAACCCTCCGTTGTGACGAGGGCTATGACTGGGTGTTTGCGGCTTGTATGGAGCAATAGGTGAAGAAGGGTGGAAGTAATTTTAATTTATGATGTCAATTTAGTTTTTGTGGTTTTTGCCAGACACACATCGCACACTAAAAACTTTACATAAGCAGCAAGGCGTAGCTCTAGAAAACTAAAGTCAGACAAGTTGCAGTGAAAGTCACATAGAACTATTCGTAACTCACTTCAAAATTGGCTCAGATATAGTTTTGATTGCTCGTCTGCCACTCATCCATCAATTTGCCATACACTCATTACTTTTTTTTTTTTGTAAAAAAATGACATTTTTTGTATCATTTTTGGGCTGTATTATCGCTCTATATAAAATCACACGAGCGTAACGGTCATACAGCAGACATCGGCATGGATAACCATGATCAATCAAATTGAAGCTAGACTTGTGGCCTCCATGCGACATTGCCATTCCCCCGCAATGTTTCGCAACAATTGCAAAGCCTCTCAGGCATTTTCTGGGCTGCAGGATGCACTCAATGCGTGTACACCTATATAGATATGTTACACTGATAGAAAAGAGGTATTAGTCAGCATTTGAGAATTATTCCGGCTCGCCGAAAGCACTTAAATATTCCTAATAAATGAAAATGTTTAAGCTTTAACTTAACATTGTTTTTTATACCATGTAATATAATTATTTGGTTTTTATATTCAATCACGTAAGCATGGCAATCATGGAAGCAATTTTTGAGCCATTTCAAAGCATGTACCAAAATATATAACAAACAAAAAATGTAAGTAACTTATTTATGCTAAACTGGAGGCCTATACTGCATATTAAAACATAAACAGACTTCTGCATACTTGGGAGCTAAGCATAGGCCTTAAACAACATAATTCTCCCTACACATAAGGAAAGTAGCAACTCAAAATATAATTCAATAATTTCAAAACAGTTTTTTAGAGGAAATAGGTAACTTAGAAAATAAAAATTCAGCAAGTTTAAGATCTAAGCAAGTTTGCTGTGTAACAAAACATCATTGATAAGCAGATTAAACTGCAGAGATCATCATATCATTAAGCGGATTATACTACTTATTTAACAATAGATAATCAATATTGCTTTGATGTTGC